GGGGAATTCTGGGAGTTGAAGTCCACACATCTTAAAGTGGCCAAGTTTGAGAAACACTGATCTAGAGGGAACTTGCTTGGAATTTACCAGAAAACTCACATTCTGATCATAAACAAAAGCCAGACACTTCTGACAAATTAAATCTGCCATTATGAGAAACACCTTCTGAAGGAAAGGTGCGGGGTGAACGTCCTTGTCAATCCCCAGAGACACAGCCAAGGGTCAAAGAGAGGAAGGTTATTGCAGCACAAAACATTTACAGTTTTCACCTTTTAAAGGGCATCTTACGGGATTGTTCGTGCAAGATCAAAGAAAGGGAATTTGAAGATCATCCAGTCTACCCCTGGCCACTGATATTGAGAGGTTGGAATCCTCCTTCCTCCTCGACTCTTACAAGACGACAGCCAAGCACTTGGATTCTGTGCATTCACACGAAATCGTCCCCCACCCCACCCCACCCAACACACACCTTCAGCTTTGCAACATACTGTCGTTAAAAATGGATTTGGTTCTCACAACAACCCTGGATTCACAGACCACAACTGAACAAGTGGCATTTGTATCTTCGCCTCCATTGCTATTTGTATCTTAGTCTGTTGGGTGAAGCAAACAATCATGTTAAGCCAGACTGGGTACGTTGCCAGAGAAGAGCCTGCGGTGTTAGTTAACTATGGTTTAGCATGTTGTGCAAACACACCACCTTAGTTTCCAGTTATACAAGCCCTGCAACACCAGAATCTTTGAGCCTCTCTCTCTAGAAAACTTCTTGCAACTTGGGAATAACACGGATGCGGGTTTCTGCGGCAGCCTCTCTCTCTTTGCAAATCGGACTTTTATGCATCCCTTTTATACTATTGTTATAAACCAACTTTGGAGGTTTTCCCAATGAATAGAAATCATTCAATAAAATAAAATAAATTTAACATACATTTATTTTATTTTAAAGAGGAAGGAGAAAGAAGTAGCAAAAAAGAGCTAGGAAAAGGTGGGCTATCCAGTCCAAATGCTTCTATTGGCCATGAAGTTTTAAGCATGCAGCTGCTTAACTGAAGTAACAGCGTAATCTGGCTTTTAAAAAGTAACAGTTCCCCATCCTCTTACAGTCCAGAGAGGTTAAGAACAGTCTCTATTCCAGATTATGGAGTAATCTTGATACTGTTCTGTAAATAAGCCAGTTTGGAGGTCATCCTGGCATAATTCTTCATTTTTCAGCTTCTGAAAAGATCATTTTCCAAGCCCCCCTCAGTAACAGTGTATTGGGGTCTTCATTCAAACTAGAAATGCGTAAACATCCTCCATTAAAAAAAAAAATACAGGGATTAAGTTCAGCTTTGCCCAATAAATTAACGCAAAATGACTGAACAGAAAATTCAGAAATGGTAAGAGGCTTAAAAAGTCATTCAATTTACCATTTTGAAAAAAGAGGGAACCTGTGCTCAGAAACTGGAGCGGGGCAATGCCATTCTCAAACAAGGATTTGGGAATTCAGAGCCCGCAAAGACACAACACAACCTTTCGTCTGCAATTCTCTAAAGCAGACCTATCTTCTCCTGGGATTGTGTCGCAGCCGTACGATGCTGGGAAAAGACGGGGCTGCTTTCAAGAGGGGTTTTGTTGTCCCCTCCAAAGCACCTTTGGGGAACAGAATCCAATGCACTGAAAAGCCTCTAAGCAAGATTTTGAAGCCATCTGCTCTCACGCCAGAAAATTCAGGTCAATATCAGAGCCAATTGATCAGGGCTGATGTATTGGTGGGTTTCATGTATTAGTGGGAGAGGTGAAGGTGGAGGGGATAGAAAGCCTTTGTTCCTTCACATCTGCAGCAGTGTTTTTCACACTTGGCCACTTTC